TATATATATATATAAAAGTAGTATATTTAAAATTTTTAATTGACTACAAGTCTACAAAGAAAATAGAATAAAAATTATTAAATTAGATTCAAATGATGCTTTAATATAAACAATAATTTTTAAATCTTGCCTCAACCCTTAACATCTTATGTGTGATTAGAGTTATCAAAACGACTCTTTGTTCATGAACAGCTCGTGTTCGACTTGTTAAGCAAACTAGCTGAACACGAACACACTTTTTGAGTTCAAATTTTAAACGAGCTGGTAGCTCAGCTGGTGTTCAACTCATTTACACCCCTACTCACGATCTCATAGATTTGGTGATAAGAGCGTCAAAAAGTGTAATTAACAAATTATGACAGGAGTATTTTGTCATACCTTGCATAACAATTGATATTACGTTGAAGTTTGAAGTGAAGGGACAACTAATGCGGCCTTTTTATGATGAAGAAAATTTGACTTATGATACCCTGATTAAAATTCTGGTTGGCATTAACAAAATTTGCTTTGAATAATTATTATATAAATTAATATTGTTATACATATCATAAAATAAATCTAGAAGCTACGTGTGTGTGTGTGTGTGTGTGTGTGTGTGTGTGTGTGTGTGTGTGTGTGTGTGTGTGTGTGTGTGTGTGTGTGTAATAGCTAAATTTTATTATTTAAATTCATAGCACTCAAATCTTTATCATTCATCACTTCAAATACCACAATACATTTTAAAATTTAATTGTTATTAATATGCTATCAACAAATCTCTAACATCCAACACAATCTCGAATCATGATACTAAGTTCGATGTAATTTCAAACTTTGATTAAAATTCAATTAAAATTTTGATTTCAACAAACTTATAATCAAATTGATCCACTCGATGAGATGAACCCAACGGTACTAGAATCAGTCCAATCATAGTCAAAGTAAGCCAAGATTAGACTGTTAAATTGCTTTTGGAAGTTTTTTGAGCATAGTTGGAATGTTAAATGGAACCTAAATTTGACATGCTTATAGTCAAATTGGGTGTATCGGTAAGATGAATTCAACGAGTCCATGTTTACTTAATTATGATATTATTCAGGCACCAAAAAATCCCCCAAACACTATTCGTTCAAGGAAATCTTTCTCTAGGCCATCTCATCAAGAGTGGTCTGGATTCTTTCATTATTTGTAGTCTGAATTTTATAAATAGAGTCTTATCCCCCTCATGAGAAGGAAGCTAGACCTTAGGCAAGAGCAAGTTTAGAGCCAGCAAAAGAGCGAGTTGAAGCCAAACCTCCTGCACTGCATATATGCAGCCTCTAATTGCTGACGCATCCGGCTGCCACTGTAGGTTCCGATCGGCACCTCTGGCTACCACCTCTTATAGTCCTTGGAGCCTTCAGTCTTCGTTTCCCTCGGCCAACTTCGATTATCGTTGTCTCTAGACGCTCTCTTCTTCGACCAACTCCGATTGTCATCTGTTTACCACTGTTGGCCAGCTCCGACTCCCTCCACCCTTTGATCTGCTATGATTGACGTCGCCCTCTGGCCAACTCGGGTTGTCATTGCCTCCAGCCAACTACAACCACTGTCGTCTGACCACCACTAAAACCAACAAACATCACTACCGACCACCGTCGACCATCATCAACCACCACATGCTCATTGCAACAAAGTCACTTATGAAGTCATAAGGTGCACCGCAGAACCTCCCGATTATTTGTAATTAATTCTACTTTTTATTCATACTAAAACTTTCTTAAATATTTTTCTAAGCCATGATTATTCAAATTTTAATCTCTAAAAGGCACTATCGGTTGTCGTCAAGTCTGAAACTAGACTTTGTCAACATTTGAAAAGTCTCAAAATCCGTGCAATGACACAGCGCGTAACGGTCAACATGGGTTAACCTCATACAATTCAAAACTGGCTGGCCGGAATTGACGGCAGAAGAAATTAATTCAAACCACCATCATAATTATGTGGAATCTCCGATCGTCTTCTCCATTGACCTTCTTCACCACCAACCTCTCTGCACCCAAAAAGTCTTCCAAAATCATTCATAAATCTTCAAGTTGAAAAGAGAAGGAAAGGTTTTCAATCTTCTCTGTGAAACAATTTCTATTCCTCTGCTCCATCATGGTGCTCAGGAAAATGCTTGACAGGCTTAGATCAAGAGGCGAGCCGAAGAATGGCTCTGAGGAGCTGAAGCAGAATGGAGGCCATGGAGGTGGTGATACAAAGAAGAAGCTGAGATCCGTGAGAGTAGCTGACTCAGATGGAATAAGGAAAGCTTCTAAGAAAACCAGCCATCTTCCTCCTGAACAAGATGCAGCTGAAGTCCCGAATTACATGAAGTCTACCAGCAGCTATGATGCCAGAAAGGAGAAGAACAAGGTAGTTATCCATTCCTCAACTTCTACTGCTACTGCAACTACTACCTCCATACCCCTCTCCTCTGCTGCTAGAGATCTGGTAAGGAATTCAAGTTTGAAGCTTTTGAGGGCTTCAATGAAGAAGAACAAAGGAAGGAATCTGAAGTGCAGGGAAACTTCTTCATCAACTACTAAGGATTCAGAAACTCCGAATGCTCTGGATCTGAAGGAAGATCATGATGCTTCTGAACTGAAGGTCTGTGATTACGCATACTGTTCCTTGCATGGCCATAAACATGGAGCTGCGCCTTCCCTAAAGAGATTAGTTTCAGCAAGAAGGAAGTCTCTGAAAGTTCATAAGAGCATAAAACTGAGGGCTTATTCATCAATGAAAAAGAAGGGGGGTAATCAGATGGAGCTGGTTGAAGATGCAGTCAATGAACTCTTCATTGAGATTCACTCAAAGTTTCAGGAATGGTGTGAGGAAAGAAGCAGTGATGATGCTGAATCACAAAATATTGTTAATCGGATGAGTGAAATGAAGCTGGAGGATCCAAATGATGCGAGTGAATTGCAGGAATCCTGCTCGGTTACAAGCATTGAAGATTGTGGAGATAAGAACAGTGATCTCTCCATGGAGGATATTCAGATAATTAACCAGTTTTTAGAATTTATGGAGAAAGGATGGCAGGAAGAAACTCAGATCGAAACTGAACAAAGCAAGGAAGCAGAAAGTGAGCCTATGGCAGATTTGAATGATGAAAATAATGAGAAAGATTGTTCATCATCACTGGTCAGCAGATCAAGAGTAAAATATGGCAGATTGAGAAGGCAGCCATCGAGGATTAGAGAGAGTGTAAGAGAGTTCAATCCATGGCCGCCCCGTTTAGTTACATTGCAAGCTGAACCAGAAGCAGAGCAGGTAAATCTCAAGCACCAGACTGTTGAGGAACGAAAAGCTGCTGAGGAGTGGATGATAGACTTTGCGCTCAGAAAAGCTCTTACAAGGTTAGCTTCTGTGAGGAAGACGAAGGTTCCACAGCTTGTTGCAGCTTTTGAGAATGTTATGCCACAAATGTCTGGAGTAGGAACTAAGAGGAGCTATCCATAATAGCAGTAGAAGGAAGTAACAGACAGTTTGTAAGGATGTAACTAACTCTGTCTATTTCTCTATCTTCTTCTTCTGTTCACAATATGTGTATAAATGGAGAGGTGTGTTGTAGTGAGAATATGATGGAATAAAGAAATCAAAGCCTTGGTTGAAAATATTAGTTTGGTTGGCTCAGTAACAGATGATGAGGATGTGCTTTTATATACTTTGAATGGTTTTCCATCAGATTATCAAGCTTGTAGGGCATCAATGTGCTCCAAATTACAAATGTATGTGGATCATTTCCCTATTATTTCAGATAAAGGATATAGATATTGCATAGTTTTCATAGATAATTTCTCAAGGTACTGTTGGGTAGTTTATATGCAAAAAAATTATGAAGCATGTCACAAAATTCAAATATTTATACATACCCTGCTCGGTCAATTTAAAATCAAAATCAAGGTGTTAAGATCTGATGGGGGTGGGGAGTATACTAACACTTCCTTGAATAAGTTCCTCAAAGATAATGGCATAATACACCAATACTCTTATATTTACACACTGGAGTAAAGTGGTGAGGTTGAAATGAAGCATCGACATATTATAAAAATAATAGGAACTTTACTTCATGATGGAAAATTATCGTACACTCTTTGGGATGAAGTTCTTCAAAAATTGCTGTTTATTTAATCAACATAATCCCTACTAGAACCACTAGACAAATATCTCCATTTCAACATCTAAGAGGGAATTGCAACTTCAAAAATGTATTTAAGAGTACTCAAAATAGTTGCTTTCTATGGAGACAACCACGATCTACTCACAAATTAGCTCAATCCAATGTGTTTTTTTTAGTTACTCACCCATTCATAAGGGTTATAGATGCTACAATCCAATCACAAGTAAGATAATCATCTCAAAACATGTTGTATTTGATGAGCATAATTTTCCCTATGCCTATAGCGGTGCGGAAGATAAATCCTTGGGAAAATAATCTATACACCAAAGTACCTCACCACTTCTTCTTGCACCTACCACATACCTACTTAACTCTCAAAAAATTACCCCATTTGTTGTTACCAATCTTTAAAATTAAATCTCATATAATAATTCACTAATAACTACTAATCCCCAAAATCCTAAATCACCTTTGGAAACTCTACAACATGATATACCAATACCAATACTAAGTTTTATTTCATAGCTTTCTATTTAAAATCCTCAAACACATTCTATGATAAAAAGACTAAAACAGGCAATTTTAAACCAATTCAGAAACTTAATTTGACTCATAAACTCACATCCCAACCATAACCTACATATTATACACAAGTTGTGAAACAGATCCAGCGGAGGAGAGCAATGACTGAGAAATTTCAAGTTTTATAATTGAAAGGAATATGATTATTGGTTCCTCTACCTAATGATCAACCCATCTTGAGTTCTAGATGGAACTATACTACTAAATTTTAGGTTAATGGCTAGGAGGCTAAATACAATTATAGGTTGGTAACTCAATACTATAAACAAGAGTTTGGAATAAACTACATGAAAAAATTTTGTCTGATGGCTAAAATATCTATGATTCACATATTATTCATTATAGCACTTCATAATAATTGGAAAATTCTGTAATTTAATGTTTCTAATGCTTTTCTACATAATACTCTTCATAAAACTATATAAATTCATCAACCACAACATTTTAATGATTCCCAACATCCAAAACATGTTTATATTCTTAAAAAGGCACTCTATGGACTCAAACAACCTTCACATCAATGTTTAATGCACAATCAACATTCTTAGCTCAAACTGAATTCATAAACAACAAGGTTGATCCTTCCTTGTTCATTTATAGTAAAGATAAAGCTATAATATTTGTTTTAGTGTATGTTGATGACATTTTAATTACATGTAACTACACTAAGATCATATCTACATTTGTTTGGAAATTGAATTCAAGATTTCAGCTTAAGCAACAAGGATCAAGTACCTATTTTCTTGGAATTGAATGGCAGAGATTAGATACAATGTATTTTTGAATCATTAAAGGAATACACAACAACTTAATCAAATAGCAGAGATGCGGGACTGTGTGGTCATTAGTACATCACGATCTCCTAAAGAGCAAACTCAAATGAATGACACTCCATTACATAATCTAGGATTTCATAAGCAATTGATAAAATCAATGCAATACTTAACCATTACTATATTGAATATAAATTTTATTGTAAATCAAATATCTTAGCATATGCACAATCCAACAACTCATCATTTTCAACAACTCACTCGTCTTCTAAGATATATCTAAGGAACAAGAAATAATGGTTTCTAATGCTTTTCTACATAATACTCTTCATAAAACTATATAAATTCATCAACCACAACATTTTAAAGATTCCTAACATCCAAAATACGTTTATATTCTTAAAAAGGCACTATATGGACTCAAACAACCTTCACATCAATGTTTAATGCATAATCAACATTCTTTGCTAAATATGAATTTATAAAAAGTAAGGATGATCCTTTCTTGTTCATTTACAATAAAGACAAAGATGTAATATTTGTTTTAGTGTTTGTAGATGACATTTTAATTACATTTAACTGCACTAAGATCATATCAACATTTGTTTCCAAATTGAATTCAAGATTTTGGCTTAAACAACAAGTATACTAAGACATCATTGAATAAGTTCCTCAGAGATAATAACATAATACACTAGTACTCTTATCTTTACGCACTGGATTAAAATGGTGACATTGAAATGAAGCATCGACATATTTATAAATCATCCTTACTAGAAAATTCTCCACAATACAATATTTCTTAATAATTTTTCATAATTTCTGAAATCCTATATCTATTTCAAGGTATATGAAGATCTATTTAAAATTAAGATTTAACATTAAAATGTTTTTTTAAGGATTACATTTACATACTTTATTAAATTTTTTATATATACTTTATATACTACCTAACAAAAAATTTTTCGCAGGCTTTCCAATTTTCTTAAAATGAGAGTTATAATGAGAAAAATGGGGGAAAATAAGAAATTCTAGAGCGAAAAAGTTAGAGACCATAGAACCAATTTTATTTGCAAAATTAGTTGAAAAAATTATCTGACTCGAAGTAAATTAATGTAATTCTACATCATATTTTAATTTTGTTATTCTTTCATACAATTTGAGTATTTTATTTGGTTGATTTTCAAATAAATTTATTTATGCAAAAATTCTTAAAGTTCTCATCACATAACTTTCGATATGTCATGTCATGAATTGTATTGGTCATATTGACATAAGAAAAATAGGAATTTCTATCGTAAATTTTGTTTGTATAATATTGTATGCAATTATAGAGTCATAACTATTGATGAATATAGTTCCAATTAATCATTATATGTTAAAATCAACCATATTTATTTTATAGGATTTGCTTCATAATGCATTTTTTTTGTCCTCCATAAAATTATTGAATAAGTTTTTTAATATTTTAATTTTAAGATTAGATTTATGTAGGCTCATCATTAACTAAATAATTTAATTTCATTAATTAAAATTGATTTATCTTTTGATCTAAAAGGTGAACCAAAAAAAATTATGATTTTTTTTTGCATAATTTAATTATTTTCAAAATATAACAATGCATTATTCTTTTAAGGTAATTGCATATTTTCTAGGATTAGCATCAACTAATTAGGTAGCATATTAGTAAGATTTCATTAATGTATATTAATAAGCTTGAAGAAAGTATCATGACGAAAAGCAACATAACATGAAATCATACATTTGCATATATACCATCTAAAAATTATGAATTTATAAATCTAAATGGTAAACCTTTTCTCTATAGTTATCTCACCCAAAATTTTCATAATATATAAAAATAGAGGTTTTAGGCAATAATCATTAAAAAATATTGAATATAATATTTTAGTCACCTAAATTATAAATATAATATTTAAAATTTAAGTGATTAAAATATTATATTTAATGTTTTGAATGGTTGAAAAGAAATTCATAAAAATATTACTATTTTAACATTAAAAAATTAAATATATCTTTTTTACACATTTACCAACTATAATGTGAGACCCATTAAGCTCATTTTTCCCAATAATAATAAAAAAAAACACTTTCTATGCAGGAAAAAAATATTACATCAGGACTCCGTACGTAAAGTTACGTGCGGAGTCCAATGAAATCACGCCACACGTGAAATCACGCAAAAAAAAAACCCGGCCAGGTAACACAGGGGAATATTCCCCCCTCGTGTTATTCATGTATTATTGTATGTTATTCAAGTGTTATTGATATGTTATTGTGTTATTATACACCAAAAATATTCCCAGAACACAATAACACATGAATAACATACAATAACATCTGAATAATACGGAGAGAATTTTTCCCTGTGTTACCGGATCAATTTTTTTTTCTCAGATGGTGCGATTTTATTGGACTTCATACGTAACTCTGCATGCGAGAGTCTATGCAGAGATAAGATGACAAAGAGATTAAAATTAAATATTAGATGTCAGATAAATAAAAAAATAAGGATCGAGTAATTCCGCATTTGGGTTTGGAAAAGTTTGCTTTTGTTCCCCTAATTTTTTCCATTAAGAAATGAGGTTCTAGATTCCATGATTGATGGGAGCAACAGCCATGACAGAGGAGAGAAGGGGAACGGAGCGTGACCAGCTTGCTGATTATCTTGAGCGTCTATTCTCAGACGTTTCCACCATGGTTAAAAGCGAGCTCCAGGTCATCTTTACCCTCATGCGAGTTCTTCATATTTTTTCCATTGCGAACAATTCCTTATAACACGATATTTCTTTGTTCTTCGATTTTATAATCATCCAAATTAACACTGTGCGATCTAATGTTAGATTTAACCATTTTAATTGAAAATTAGTTCTAGGGCGAAAAGTGATTCTATCTAATTCTTTAAGCTGAAACTTTGATCCAGTTTTTGTTTGGCACAATCAATGAAGCTATCCTTGATGCGTTTTAAGCTCTTAACAAGCACTGTTTCGTATCTAATAAGAATTGGGGTTTTTTTTTTTCTTTTTCTGAACATCTAAACTGCATTCTATGGTACAACAAGCTTCGCACTTTTAATCCGGTCAACTCTTCTCAGTTGAAGGCGTTGAGGGAAACAATCGAGGACAGGAATGTCTAGAGGTTGAACTTGGCCACAAAATAGTTAGTGAAATTTACATACCTCGCACACAATTCTTATTTATTTACATATCTCACACCTGAACTTCCATCTTTACAAAAATAGCACTTTGGTGCTTTAAACGTATGCATGAAAAGGTGTATTTCGCTTTTAACAAGTGGTATAATGCTATTTTTGATGTAATATTAAATACTTGAGTGCTATGTGTGTAAATATGAAAGTTTAGGTGTGAGATTTGTAAATACATAGGAATTGTGTGCTATGTATGCAATTAATTAATATAGATAAACTAATTGCTTAAAATCATAATTGCTAGAGGTTCATATTGAGTCATTATTGGCTGTCAGGATATGCTTAATGCCGAATTTTACAAGGTACATGATACTTGTAAAAGAAGTGATAATAAGATATACTTCTTAAAATCCGGCATTTGTAAAATCGGCATACAACATAGAGGATTCAACAAAAGATTTACCAAATGTTCTAGATAGTATTTGACTCTTCAAATGAGCTCATTTAGTCACATGAGATTTACTCTTTGGTTCCTAAGCAACTAATAGCAACATTTATCCATTGATTTTGGGTGCCCTTATGTTTTGCTATTGCATCTTACCATGTCAAAATTTTCACATTGGATTACGAGAACAAAGTTATGAGGGGCATGATTTCCATAGCGATATAAGAATGAATTATACCATTAAGCTTTCCGTTATGCCTTGCTTATGTAAGGGAAAATAATGTCGAAAAATTACTTCTTGCGTATCTAAGGGTATTTTGATCTCAGATGCCAAACTTTAACAATTTGATTAATTGGGGAAGGATGGATTAGTAATTATGATTACAACATATTACTATATTGGGAAAGAAATGGTGAACAAAAAGATACCAACCTTGGCTAAAATTACTTCATTCTCCAATCTAGGCTAATGAAGTTGAGCAAATGGTTGTATTGGCATGTGAAGCTGATCGAATGAATACCATTGATTCTTATGTTAGCCAATTTTTGCATTGGCATTAAGAGTATGATGTCTATGAAGGTGTATTTCTTAGTGCGTGAGTTGGGTGGGATGTGAAATAGGAAATATGGTGATATTAAAATATGAGAGAATGCGGAAATGCAAGACAAGAAATGTGTAATTTAAGATTTCATACCCTTAATTTCTTTTTGTTTTTAAAAATAATAGTTGAATTGTGGGGCTTATGACTGTTTTGTTAACTTAATGCAAAAATGCAAGAGAAACAACATTTTTCAGTAGTATGATGCATAATATTGTGTAATTTTTCTTGTGACGAAAATAATTATTCACCTACACTATTCTAAGAACAAGTTATAAGATGAATAGCACGGGAAAGCCACCAAATTGGTAAAGCCATAAAATTAGCCAGATTTTACTAACAATAAAAACTTCTAAAAGTAGAAAATACTAAACATAGAAAATACTAAAATTAGAAGACACCAAAATAATAAATTCCTAAAATTTTGACACCCTCCCCTCAAGCTGGTGCATAGATATCTATCTTACCCAACTTGCTTGCAAAGAACTCAAAATTAGGTCAAAAAAGTCATTCGATAAAGATATATAATGTTTGTTGCACAGTCAGAATATAAGTCATGAAAATAGCTCCACAATCAATTGTTCATTTTATGAAGTGTTTCAGACTCTGTTTGGCGCAGCTGCAGCTTTTTAGCTTTTCAGTTGCAGCCGCGCTCTCGAGGAAGCTGCTGCAGGAAAGCTGACTGCCTGTTTGGTGCAGCTGTGTGAAAACAACTTTGGAGCAGCTGCTTATAGAAAAATGACCATGCTGCCCCTGTTTGGTAAAACAGTTTAAAATAGTACCGTGACAATGATATTTTTGATACTTCTGAAGTAAAATCTTTTTTTTTGTTAATATCTTGCCTTTTTTTATCACCTACTTATTTTTGGCACCTGTGACCTTCGGTTTTGAGCAAGCTGCAAATTAGCTTGTTTGCTAATTAAAATAAACCATTAATTTTATGATGGTGAATAAAAATAAACTTTAGGTGGATTCCTTATATTTGACAAAAATCTTTGATCTTCTTATCAACAAATTTTATTTTATAATCGATGAAAGTAATCATGGGTAACCTGGACCTACAAATGATCACTCCAAATGAAGTTGCACATGTCTATCCCTTATGATGAATACAATTTTAAAGACATCTCAGGGCATAACAGTAAAGGGAAATGAGAGATCGCCGGATTGAAAACGGGATAATTCTTTGAGGGGGCAGAGAATAGAGAATCCAGAAAGAAAAAGAGAAACACTTTCTCTCCTGCTCTCAGATGGTGGGAACGAAGGCCGGTATAAGCACACTCCTCTCCTACTCTCCACCGTCCCGACGAACGCCGCTTACAACAGGGACAAACAACGCAACTCATAATCGGGACAAACGCCGCTCATAGTGGGATGTGCATTGCTCAGGCGCGAATCGACACGATACCCTCTCGCTCTTTCTTTCACACGATAGGACCGAATGGATATCCTCAACCGTTGTGGAGGATCGAGCAGGGAGGAGCTTCGAAGGCAAGGAAGGAGCTTCGACTCTATATGCTGCGATCCAGGGGTATTATCGAACGTTCCCCACGAACGCGAGAAGAGAAAGCTGTGTTGCGGGGTTAATCCTGCAGCCGGCTTTCCGCTTGCTTTAGCTTCCTTTGACTGCAAAGTTGGGAGCCAAACGGAAAAGTTTTGCAGTTTGGGGCCGCGCCGCGTAAAAAAAGTGGCCCCAAATGGAGCCTCAATCTCCACATGTTTTGTGCGGCCATGTTGTACCATATTTTATACAATGCTTATGACTGTTTTATTGTCACATTATAACTTCATTAGCATGTTTATCGGGTTGTAGCTCTTCAAGATATCTATTAAACCATAACATTTCACGTACTCCATTAGCCATAGCCATGTATTTAGCTTTGACATTGCTCCTCGCAATCACATTTTGTTTCTTATTACGCCATGCAACCAAATTTTCTCAAACATACATAGAATATCTGAACGTAGTTCTTCTGTTAATAATTGAGCCCACTCAGTTTGTATCAGTGTATGCCTCTATATTTAATTATGTGGTCTTTTTGAAGAGTAAACCTTTCTTGGTGTATTTTTAAATATTTAAGAATCATGTTAATTGCTTCAAGGTGTTTCTCATAAGATGAATACATAAATTGACTTATCAAACTACAACAAAGGCGATATTTGGCCGTGTATTTGACAAGTCTATCAACTTTTCTTCTTACTTTTGATATTGAAATGTATCCATTGGATGACCTTTCCCATATCCTATCTTCTATTGGGATTAATTGGAATGTCTGTAGGCTTATAATCACTCATCCTAATTTTCTTTAAAAGATCAACACACAATTTCATTAGGAAACAACAACCCATTTCTTCGATCCAACAACATTCATGCCAAAGAAATACTTTAGAAATCCTAAGTCTTTGGTCTCAAAAATTGATGAGAAAGAAGTTTTCGAATGGTTCATCTCACATACATCATCTTCAATGAGAATTATATCATTAACATATATAATCAGTATGACTATCTTACCATCTTTTGATATTCTAAAGAACAATATATGATTCCCTTGCACTGTAGTATACCATCGTTCTTTAACAAACAGAGTAAATTTCTCAAACCATGTTCTTGGTAACTGCTTCAACCCATATAGACTTTTTTAGTTTGCACATTTTTGTGCCAAACTTCTCATTAAAACTTGGAGGTACATTCACATACACTTATTCCACTAAGTCCTCATTGAGAACTATACTTTTTATATCTAGCTATTGTAAGTGACATTCAAGATTAGCTGCAAATGACAAAAAAACTTTTGTAGTGAATGCCTCGAAGCAATTAATACCATAGGTCTGAATGAATCATTTGACAGCTAGTTGAACCTTGTACTGTTCTAGAGAGTCATCAAAATTATACTTGACTGTAAACACCCATTTGCATCTGATAGTTTTTTCCTCTAGGCAGATCAACCAATTTTTGCATGTCATTTTTTTAGAGCTTTCATCTTCTCGAAGAAAACCTCTTTTCACTTAGGAACTTTTAGAGCATTCTACACAGTATTAGGAATCTCCATACAAGATAAATGTGAGGTGAAAGCCCAAAAAAAATGTGAGAGATCTTATATGACACACAATTAGATAATGGTATTGGGTGCTAGACCTCATCCCCTAACAAGCAGTAATGGGAAGACTGGAATCATTAGATTTATGATCAGAGCTAGACTTAGGTTTATGACTAGAAGACTTAGAACTCGAAGATGAATTAGACTAATCACGGGGTAAAGGCTCAATGAGGAATCTGGAGGGTTTATGGATTATGGGCATTGTAATTGAATCGTAAACTTTATTTTTCTGTTTTCCTTTGTCACGAGTACACAATGTCAAATATACCTATGTTGTAGTTCTTTTTAATGTTTCCTCTTTTTTACTTATAAGATTATGAATAACAAGAGATGACACTGTAGGAAGACCTGAATCATCTTCAATATCTAAAGAAATTCAACCCACTTTCTCCTGAAAATAATATAGCTTGGATTTTCAGGTTGAATAA